GCCCATTTTACGACGGAGCCTCGCTGCACCTTCTGCTCGTTCATGACAAATTGTTTCTTGGACTCTGACAGGGATCACGCATCATCCTGGCAATATAATATGCAACACGCTATTACATATGCCCGTATACCAAGAAGGCAGGACAAGGCTCTGGAAAATGTTGATAACATGCATGACTTTGTGCTTATGCACCTCGTTCGACTCCTTGGTTTTTTTCCGTCTTATCGACCCGATGGATAGGTAATATTGGCCGACACAGGCAGGTCGTCTCTTCGTCTCCATCCTACTCACCTGCATGTATATGTGTGTATCTTACCTACATATTCTACATATTCACTCCAAGAGCCAAAAAAAAAAAAAAAAAAAAAAGTAATAATAATAATAAAAATAAAAATAATAAAAATTATAAAATATGAAATAACATACTTCCAATACGTCATTTATCCTATTTTTGAAATGGGTAATCAATCTGAAAGTGCGGGAGTGATTCACTTCGACGTTTTGTCGTTTGATATTGAGAAGGCCTTGATGAAACTCCCGGCCATCCCTTTTTGCCCTTTCAGCCTTGCATCACTCAGATGAACTACAAATGAACAGAGCCCGATCCGCAGCCAAGTATTTTTTAGACAGCAAACCGATTTCGAGAACCGAGCTGAGGTTTCGTCATTTTGAGCAATGAATCCAGATTTGAAACGGGGAGTTTGGTGGGTTCGTATGGTTCCAGAAAATTGAGCAGAAAAGTCACAGTTCGTATGGGCTGCGTTTGGTGTCAGGATGTTGACCCCGAGATAACCCGTCTTGATTGGCAATTTGAGAAGATGGCGCAAGGTACTGATCGATCGTACAATGGCATCAGATTCCTAGACCAAACTGCATGTAAGATGATGCTACCCAAGTGGTGGTAACAGCCGTCTCCTGCGATATCCGCCAAATGAGCGATGATTAACCCCGTCCCAAGCACCAGAGGGCTATTTCCATTCTTTTCGCTTTTGAATACTATCGAATAATACCGATTCAGTTGTCCGTGTCAAGGTGAAGGATATGCCGGCAACATACCCATGAATCATATATGTTTCTGTTCAGATCCAGCAGAGAGAAAGGAGAACAAGAAAGAGATGAATACGAACAAGAGAACAAAAATCCACCGTTACACCTGGCACCATATGGAAATAAAGCACATAAAAAAGGAAGACACCCTGGAAACCGAGTCCTGGATAACAGCCCGACTAAGTGACCCATCTGTAGCTGGCATATCTTCCAGCCGTCTCACTCTTTCTGATAATCTTAACGACCTGCCCTCTTCTGAGACCCAAGTACTTCGCAACAGGATCACCGCTCTGGATTCTGGGAAGCTGTGACTCCTTCAACCGGTATCGCTGCAGCAGCTTTTTCTTCTCCTCTGCGCTGAGCAGTATATGTTTTGGGACAAGCTCGTGGTGAGTGATGTTGACAAGAAGCTCTTGTTCAAGGAAATGTTCACAGAACCGTCCTGGAATCGCGGTCAACAGCCTAATAGCCGACGGTGATATAGGCGACTGGGTGATAAATATGCCGGCATGGTAGTTTTGCTGGTCGATGAACTGGTTGAAGGCCCGAATATGCTTGGTGCCTACGCTCTGGGTCTCGCTGCAGAATTCAACGTGGATTGTACCGCATTCGGGGACCGTGTTAGGCTTCGATGGAGTAGGCAAGGGAGTGTATCGCTCCATCATCGCCTGAGATGGACGAGCACTGATGCGCATCTTGTTTCGACTGATATAAGTTAGACTTGCCCATAACATGCAAAGGCAACAGGGCCAAACTTACTCTGGGAACCCGAGAGCATCAGAATACCTCTGCTTGAAATCGCTTAGAGAGATCTTGACTTCTTCTTCTGTGACTTCGTAGCCCTGTATTATCCTGTCAGTAAATGCTCTCGTCTCTCGCGGTGTACACAGCTGCAAAGAGAAAAAAAAAGGCAGCTCTTCAACGCAGGATCAAGCCGTACCCGGTCCAGGAGCAGCTCGAACACCGTCCTCCACGTCCGCCAGAGCCTCGTCATCTCACGATCTGCCTCGTCGGAGGCCCTGGAGTAGTCTTCGTCTGCCATGCTGGCCGTCCTTGCGCCGTATGCGCGCCCTCGAGCTCCAGCTCCGAAGTTCTCCTTCCCACGTCTGCTCGTCTGCTCTCGCGCTTTGCAGTGGCTGCCTTTGACCGTCTCTCTGTCTGTCGCTCTCAGTCCCTGACTCTGCCTCTGTCTGTGTCCCTGTCGACTCTCGTCTTCTTCTTCTTCTTCTTCTCCGACGTCCAAAAAAACTCGTTGAAAAAAAAAAAGAACCAAAAGATTGACGCACAGACCAACTTGTAGAAAGTCAGCGAAGGAAAAAAATGTTTCTTTTTCGGACAATTTTGACGACTTCGACTTTTCTTCTTCGTTTCTACTTCTTCTTCGTCCGCTGCTGAGAGTCGTTTTGGCCGTCTGCTCGCTGGTCTAAAACATCCTCTGACGCTGTCTCGACGCTGCTTGCTCCAAAGCCAGGCGTCCTTTCGAGTGTCTTCTATTTTACTCTTGTTTTCACTGTTCGCTCGCTTAACTATTTGAATTACACGCAGCCGCGATCTATCTGAACAACTATGGCTACGACAGCGAAGCAGGTTGCTCCAGCCCAGTCTGGAGAGCACAAGGTGAAGCCTGAGAAGCCAGATGAGAATGCCTACAAGATCTCTTTGGCCAATGCGGAGAAGGACCTGGCGACTGCTCAGAAGAAACTGGTAGGAATCCAACCGGGATCTGGACTGATTTTAACGAGGTTGTGCGCCGGGCTCACACAGTGGAATTCTGCAGGAAGCAATCAAGGCGAAGATAGAATCCGCTACTCCCAACAATCAGAACTCGCCCGTCGCTAAGAGGCAGCAGGAACTGCGCAGCCAGCTTGCAGCAATCCGCCAGCAGCAGCAGGGCTTCAAGGCTTCCCGTACAGCCCTCCAGGAGAAAATCAACGTTCTCGATGCCAGCATAAAGGCTCGGTTCGCCGAGCAGAAGAGCCAACGCGACAGACTGCCGTTCAAGAGCGTCGAAGATATCGATAGGGAAATTATGCGTTTGGAAAAGGAGGTCGACTCGGGCACCATGAGACTGGTCGACGAGAAAAAGAACCTGGCCGATATTTCCAACCTGCGAAAGCAGCGCAAGAACTTCTCCTCCATGGATGACAGTAAGAAGACCATTGATGAAATGAAGGCCCAGTTAGCCACGCTCAAGAAGGGACTGGACAACCCTGAGGCCAAGGCTCTGAGCGAACAGTACACTGCCCTCCAGAAAGAGCTCGACGATATCAAGAGCGAGCAGGACTCCATCTTCAAGAACATCAAGTCTCTCCGTGACGAACGAACCAAGATCCACAATGAACAGCAGCGGGCATGGAACAACGTCAAGGAAATCAAGGACAATTACCACAAGGCCCGACGAGCAAACAGGGAGTATGAACAGGAGGCATACCGTATCCGCATGGAACGCCAAAAGGCCGAGCGAGAGATCTACGAGCGTGAAAAGAAGAAGAAGATCGCGGACAAGAAGCTTGAGGAAGCCTCTCTGCCTGCTTACACTGACGAACTCCTCACTGCGGAGGGTCTTATCCGACACTTCGACCCAACCTTTGACCTTGCCTCTATCGGTCTCGGAAAGTCCCAGTTGCCGTCCTCCGCCGCCTACCGAGCTCAAGTTGGCCGAACTGTCGATGACTCCGATATCAAGGGCGTCAAGGTCATCAAGAAGGACGACCGCGATGAAAACTACTTCATGGGCGGCACTGGCGGAAAGAAGGGCAAGAAGGGGAAGAAGGGAGCTGGTGCTGCTCAGCCAGAGCCCAGCAAGTTCAACCTCAGCTTCGGTGTCCTCGAAGACCTGTCCAGAGTCAAGGTTGACCCTCCGATGAACCAATCTGATGTCCCTGCTTTGATAGAGACCCTCGTCCAGAAGGTCAAGGAGTGGAAGAGCAACCAGGCCAGCAAGACCGCTGAAGTAAGTCCAGTCCATATACACCTTATAATGATATTGTATTGTCTGTATAGTAAAACTAACGGCATCAATCCTAGAACATCAAGAAGGCCCAAGAAGAAATTGACCGCCTGGAGGAAGAAAGCAAGGCTGCTGAGACTAAGGCCAGCGGCACTAGCACTCCTCAGGTTTCCGCTGAAACTAACACTGAAGCAAAGACCGTCGATGCTGCAGAGACACCTGCTGAGACTCAATAGATGATTTTTCTAAGAACTTTCTCTGGACTCCCATCACCCATATGCATGCTGAATGCATCCTAAATATATACTCCCCAAGCCATCACCACCACAACTACATTTGTCTTTGAGCGCTCTCTCTACTTGTGATCTAAGATAGGTTCAAGTTCAGGAAGAACTAGCCAAAAAAAACATATAAGTGGAAATTTAACTTATCTATACTCTATTGTACTTTATATGACAGACAAGTCCTTTGTTACAACCATTATGGATCAATTTGTATCATATAAAGATGCAGGAACCCATAGGCTTGAGTAAGATGCAATTCTGTAGCAAACAAATCAACATCAATGTCTTCCTTCCCCATGTTTGGCCGGCTGTCGAAATTCGGTGATAGTTGCTTCTTTTATCCATTAGATATAGGCAGGGAAAAGACAAATCGAGTAAACGGTCACACGAGTGGTTAGAAACAACCATCTAGGCACCCTCCAAGGAATATATCTATATGAAATGATACAATGTGAAATCAGAAGTAAGAAATAAGTAATGAAGAACAGATATTACAATGGTATTTTTCTTCCTGGATACCGCCGTTGAAACACACAACTACCAGCAAACGTATAATACGGTTATGAGCTTATGTTAAGAAGAAAGGGTAGTAAGGAAACAAAACCCGTTGCCTCTAATTAAATAGAAGTGAAAAAGAAAGGGAAAGAAATGGAGAGAAAGGAACAAAAAGCGCAAAGCAGGAGGTTACAGTAGACATGTTCATCAGTATGAGATTAAAGGAAAAGAGAGCCAGACATAAAAAGAAAAAGTGTGTCAGGTTGAAGGAGCGTAAGGTAATGACAGCGGCAGCCGAACTTGCGCAGGAGGCCTGTATCTATCATACGTTGCGGTAAAGATAGCTGAAGGCGAGTGTCGTGAGCGCAGCCTGGGAGAGAAGACCTATCGGTCCAGTCGGCATTAAATAGATATCACTTCCAGGGACTCTCGCTGCCGCGGGTATTCCTCAGTGTATGGTTTGACGTGTGAGTTGGGTCGTCTAGAAGAGGATATCAAGACAGCAGCAGCAGGCCATACCAGCCATGAGACCGGCACAGAGACCGCCGCTGCCACTGCCACGGTTGTCCGCTGGTGGTTGTTGCTGCTGGTAATACATGGGCTGCTGAGGAGGGCCTCCCTGGGGAGGATAGTACTGCTGCTGGGGCTGGCCGTATGGCTGGCCGTACTGCTGGGGAGGAGGGCCTTGCTGATAGTAATCGTTGGCGTGACCCTGGGTTGGCTGCGGGTAGGATGGAGCTGGTTCTAATGGCCAGGACAGCATCACGGTCAGTTCCACGTCTGCTATCAGGCATCAAACAGCCTGCTCTGCGCGATTCGAGCTATGTCTTCAACTCATCGATCGACTCCAGCCCACCACCTGTGCCGTGTGCCAAGATAAGACTGGCAAGGAGGCAAAGCAGAGCAGCAGGAAGCGATAAGGCTGCAAGGGAGGGACTCACGTATTTATCGGCCATGGTGAAGACGCAAAACTCTTCTCTTCTGTTTTTATTATGCCAGTTCTCTTGTTCTCTGGTATGTGTCTGCGTCGGAAGCGGTGGAGTGTGTAGCTTTTATAAAAGAGCGTCGGGTGTTCGTGGCTGATACGAGCTTTTTGTATGCCCTAAAAGAAGGTAGAAATAGAAAAGAGCAAGAACCTCCAGCCACAACGCACGCTTCTTATGCAGTGACTCAGCGCCGCTTGAACTCCCTGAGACTCGGACTTGGTGAGCCGGTGGGCCTCTTGGGTTTCCTAGGTGTGGCTTATCGAGTGGACTCGTCAGTGTCTGGCCATTGGTAGATTCGCAGGATGGTGGGCCTCCCTGTACGGGGCTAAGTATGGCTGGCAGTTGTCGCGGTGATTTGCAAGAAAGAGACAAGACCGCGAAGGCTCCGCTCCGTCCGTCGGGCTGGCTGCTTGCGTGCGGAGCTCCGTACTCTGTGTATACTTATATTAAACATTGGCATGGGGTTGTCTGGCTAAGCGCCCCGTCCATGCGTGACACTGGTGGACACGTACTTTTTGATGGCTCAGCTGGCTGCTGGTAGGATTGGCCATGAAAGATATATAATAAAGTCGACAAGTCGTTAATTCTATTCGGGACAAAGAAGCCGAGCTGCTTGCACCAGTTTTCGAGCGCCAGCGGTGCCGGGCTCGTCCGCATAATCTATAGTTTTGTCCAAGAAGCATGAAAGAACGAGCAGGAAGAGTCCAAGTAACAACAAGAAAAGGCCCCCAAAGCAACAGATTTCCTCGCCAACTCCAAAACTCAGTCATTAGATTATGTTCATCCTCATCCCAGTCCTATCATCTTCCCCGGCCCCGTCCTCCTCGGCCACTCGGGCGTGGGTCGTAATACGACTCCGCCATCTCCTGCGAGTATTTCGATCTCGGCGCTTGGTGGTAGTGAGACTCAGACGTCTCTTCAGTGTATCCCAGAGATTCGGTCTCTCCATACCCTGAGTGTGCACGCCCATGTCTAGGGTCGTTGGGGTCCTGCACATCAACAAAGTATGGTTCGGGCTCGTCTTCATCCACAATAATAGGCTTCTTTCGACCTGCTGCCTTTGTGGGCTTTCGGCGGGCCGCTGCCTTGCGCCTGGGTCGGGGGAAATCCTCTGACACGATATCTGAGGAGGCGGACATGATATCTTTAGGTTTGTTAAACAAAATATAGACCAAGTAGGCAACCAGCACAAAGCCAACGACTGTTCCGAGTACGATGGCCACGACGATGGGTGGTGAGGTATGCGGGCCGCTGTATATGGCTGGTATGTTTATCATCTGCGTTCTCTTGGTGATGTCATGCAGCTGGCGTGAGGCGAGAGCTGCATCTCTTGCAATGCGAGTGAAGCTTGAGCTGGCTGATGAGAGGATCTGGCCATTGTTGTCGCTGTTGCCGGCGCCTCTAGGATATAGATCTTGTAGTCGAGGCGCCATCGTGTCAAGGAAAACGGCCAGGCAGCTGTCCTGCAGTGCTATATCCTGCCGTAGTAGCTATGATGAACGGACAAATGTTCCTTTATTCAGATAACAAACTTGATTCAAGTGAAATGAGATGCAGGGCTAGATATCTCCAGTTGCTGGTAGGGCTGGCGGGTTGACGCCGTTACCACGACAACGGCCAGCGGGTGAATGGACCTGCTGTCTTCTAGCTTAGCAGCAGAACAGCTGTATCATGCAGTAAGGTAGCACGCTGTACAGTCTATTTTTCCCCATAAACTAGCCATGCAGCAGCGTCAAAAGGTCCCAAAGATGCCCTTGTTGTATCTGCGTCGTCTTCGGCTTCTTCAGCTTCATCTTCGCGATGCAAAAAAATAAAAATGGCGGGGCTTATGTAAGCGTAAATAAAAGTGGCTGGAGAGTCACATGATAAGACAATCGGCATTATGTAATGACTTAAATTCACTACCTGCATGCGATTGGCTGATTTCCGGCCTGCCCAAGGGGGAAATGCATATAGATAGCTAGGTAGAGGAGTATATACTCTGTATTGTATGCTAGAATTCTGTCTAGATGCTAGGATATCGCCATTTTTGTCCCTTTTGTTTTTATGTTGCATGTCGCCTGGGGGGAGCGGGCTGGTTATACTACTTGCTGGACAGCTACTGGAGCTTCCACTTCAGCCTCAGGGTCAGCGTCCATCTCATCAGCCTCTGCCTCACCATGATCCTTGCCATTGACCTCTGGCTCTGATTCATATTCGGCGATGTTAATCTCTTCCTTGGCCTTGGCTGCCTCTTGTTTCTGCGTCGAGTTGACTAGCGGTGTATCGTCATCGAAGAGACGGAGTAGTACGGCACGGCGCTCCTCCTTCGGCAGCATGAGATTTACCGAGAAGGCGCTTCGCCACAGTGGGAATACCATGCGTTCTCTGTAGTGACATGTTAACGTAGGTATTCTCTCCACTTGAGTTCTAGGGGAATTGCAATAAACTCACCGGAATCCATCCTCTCTATCACTTGCCTCTAGTCGCAGGATGTAGCATCCCATCTCCATGTCTCTGACTCTCTCTCCAATCTCGCCCAGCTCTTTCCAGCCTCCATCATTTACCTTAGGAAACATTTCTACCAAGAGCTTCCTGAGTGTGGGTTTCGTGTACATCTTCACCACCCGGTCCATGCCCACCCAAGACTCTATCACCGGCAACCCTTCCATCTGTATTCTCCAGGGACAGACATCAGGCTTCTGAACATCCTGTTTAACAAACATCTTAACACCACAGTGCACAAACTTCATTCCCGAGCTTTCATTCTCTGTTAAAATGTCTCTTGCTAGCACTGTGGTGTAATATATGGTCTTTGCAGGCCGGCCCTCAGCGTTGCGGACCATATATCGATCACGGGGGAATTGCGGAGAGAGTCTGAAGTATTTGAAGATCTCATCAAGGTCTTCCCGGTTAGGATCGAGGTACTTGAATGGCTCTTCGAAAGAGGTTTGTTGCTTTCGCTTTGGCTTGGGCGGTACCACAGTCGAAGCTGGGAGTGTCTCTGTTTTCTCTGTCTGTACCGTTTTGACGTCTGATACTTTGTCTGGTTCCTCCTGAGCAGGCTCGGTAACTTTTGTCCGTTTAGCTTGAGGTTCTTCTAAGCCATCGGAACCTCTCTTAAGTGTGGTTTCTGTTGTATCTTGTTTCGCTTCTACAGCAGAGCCATTTGCAAAGACCAAAGGTTCATCTTCAACATCTTTCTCCACGGCAGCTGCTAAGTCTGAAGCTGCTGCAGGAGTGCCAGCTTGGGAAGTTCCAATAGATGTAGAAGTAGCTGCTTTAGTGGCATCAGGTTTCATTTTGATCTCCCGCTTCTTTTCAAGAACAGTAATGAAAAAGCCGCCGGTGTCCTGCATGTGGGGGTATACACGCATGCACCGCGTGAGGTCACCAACGTCGGCATCTCCTAAAGGTGGAAACATGCCCTCCACAAGCCGGCTGGCCGCTGGATTAAGTTTTCGCACTTCCTCCTCCGCCTCTGCCCAGTTCTCATATATGCGTCCAGTCTTATCCATGATTTTCCAAGTCGTCAGACCCGGCCGTCTCTTTAGTTCTGGAAGCTGGTTTTCACAGTCAACGATCTCAACTTTGCTAGACCCACCGCATCTATCGATGACATGGGAAATAACAGCTTCGTTCTCGATGGGGTTCATGCTGCAGGTAGAGTAAACCACACGGCCTCCAACCTTAAGCATCTGTAAGGCCCGGAATAAGATGCGTGCTTGAGTGGCAAATAGTCCAATTCCATTCGCAGGGTTCCAATCATTCCATAGATTGAAGTTCTTCCTTGTTGTTCCATCTCCCGAGCAAGGTACGTCTGCTAGGATTCTATCAAATTTGAGATATCTGTTCTTTGCAGGCTGGCCATCAGCAGATACCGCCGGTAGTTTTATGGAAGGGTATACAGTAGCATCATGGTTCGTGACAAGCAAGTTCGGCGAGTTTAATCGCTTCATTTGATGGATCAACAAGTGAGCTCGCTTATAGTCACTATCATTCGCAATGAGTAGACCAGTGGATCTCCCATCGTCTTCTGCCGTCTCTAATTCCGCTGCTTCAGGCTCCCCGTCCAAGAGATCAGTGACCTTCACACCGTTTTGTCTTGTAGTTTCATCTGTAGTTTCCAGCTTTTGCGAAATCTTTGCCATCCGCTCTTCCTCGCCTGCATGAATCATCTCCATCAGCTGGGCGGACTTGCTCCCTGGCGCAGCGCACATATCCAGCACCACCATGCCAGGTCGTACGTCCAGCAGGAGCGGCGGGATCATGCTCACAACTTCCTGCCGACTAATATTGCCAACCTCCGTTTCTGAAACGAGGAATTTCTGGAACGATGAGAAGGGCGCGAAGCGACGGACAACGCTCTTCGGTGTGGTCATCGACCAAGCTAGCTGTTCTGGGTACCATGGTACTGGCTTCGGAGGCTCAACTAATTCGCCCTCATATCGAATTGAAGTTATATTTGGAATATAGAAGTCTTTCAATCGCTGCTGTAAAGCAAGAGCATGGCTGCACAGTTGTCTATTAGCGAGAGCGCAGTCAAGGCGGCCTTTACCGCATCCATACCTTCTAGACCCAGTGAAGCGAAAGCTGTTAGGTAAATCACGCCGTAAAGCATCCCAGAAGGCTTGCTTCTCTTCTTCTGGAACTATCTGAAGCGAATTATAATATTTCTCGTAGTTTTCATTCTCCCGAACCAAAGTCGACGAATAGTTAGCTGGTCGAGTACCGCGGGAACCTCCTTTGGAGCCCTGTTAGGTAAAGAAAAATTACACCGGTTAGCAAGAGACACTGGCCATGAAACCGTAAATCCAAGCTTACCTTCTTAGAATTCCGCTTCTTCCCCATATTGATTTAGGTGAATCTGGAAATTTTTACAAGATTGAAAATGCGCTCCAAGGAAAATTGATAAGTGATGACTTTGATTAAGCTTTCGAGCTGCAAGGGCGGGACCGGAGTTTCTCGGGCCGCCCGCACGTAAATTTTGTTACACGGATATACACCCACAGGTTGATAGAGCAGTACTAGGGTTGGACATAAAGGGTATCGGGGTGATATTAGATCTATAATAGATAACTAAGTGAAGAAAGATTAAGGACTGAGCGGCGATTTACTCTCATCTCGGTGATTTAGACATGGCTTTGGTAGACGCCCTTCAAGAAATCAAATGCAAATGCAAACGTTTTCTTCTTGTCTTTATTTCCAATGACAGCTTCCGGTACTAAAAGAAGAAGTTAGAATATACTATTTGAAAGTTGTCACAGAAAAAAAAATTGATGCATACTTTCAAGCCATCCATGAAATCCTTCGGGGAACTCGAGATGGCTAATCTGATAGACGTCTTTATTGGTTAGTGTATTGCGAGTTTGCTGCCCTGATGTTGCTTCTAGATCTGCCTGTCCGGTGGTAACTGTTCTAGCAGTTGTATTCAGCTGCTTAGTTTCTAACTTCAATCTCTCAATCATTGACATCTGCTCCTCGTATAATATATCTATCTTTGGCACGACAAAGGCCATCTTCGGCGGCAGCGTAGTAATATCTGCCAGGATTGGATTCATAAGCGGATTTTCCATATTTGACGTGCGAACAGGGCCAGCGTACGCATCAAATAATGGTTTCAGGACTTCCAGTGGATCTGGCTTGTCCTTGGGCGCTGGCTTCTCTGTTGGTGGTTTCCGGAGATCGACCTGGTTTGAATATAAGAATATATTGACCTCTACATTTTGCCCGAACAGATTATAATGATAAAGAAATGTAGCTTACTGGGGCGTAGAAAGTGACAGAGCCTTTGACGCTATAATCTGTACCAGCCAGCCCCTGGGCTACACCAAGGGCAAGGTTTCCGCCCGCTGAAAACCCGCTGACAGTGAGGATTCGTGGATCAGCCTTCCATAGACGTTCTGCGTTTTCAGTGAGGAAAGCAGCAACATCTTGGGCGTCTTCATTAGCTACTGGGAAAGTATATCGCGGGGCGAAGTGATATGTCGCTGACACGACAACGGCTCCCAGTTCATCGGACAGTGCACTGCAAAATTCCGCATCATGCTCCGGATTTCCACCAATAAATCCTCCGCCGTGGAAGTCAAGGTGGAGTGGTCGAAGTGCTCCGGATGTTTCTAGTGTCGATTTTGACCCTCCTAGAGGCAAAAACACGATGGCGCGCACTGATTGACCTGGCCTATGGCGTAATGGTATTTGAATTGAGGAGTATCTGCGCGAGAACATCCATGGTACCCATTTCATTGCACATGTCATGACGGATATTGGCTGTAGCAGAAAAAGCCGCCACCGGTAAGTAAAAGGAATATCAAAGCCAAATAATGCATCGAAAAGGGGATGGAACCAGCGAATGGGTTCAAACATTCTATATCTTATAAGAATATGTGCAGTGTAGCTTGATTGGCAGTATTATGATAGTTGGAGAATGCTAGACATTCTTCCAAGTTTTGGGGTGTCGTCCTTGAAGAGTCGCGTTTCCAGACAGGGCTCCAAGGTTAAATGAATCAGCAGGCCTAAAATACGAGCTCTCAGCTTCCGCTAGGCAAAAAACAGAATGAATAAAGCTATAAATACCACCCTTCTATTCTTGCATCAACACTGCAATTTTATAGATTCCTACCTTACTCACTCCATACAAAAAAGAATTCATTTCTCGAATGGTGTTTTCTTCTATTAGGTTTCATTTTATCTTTGGTTTCTAAAAATAAACTATTATCACGTGAGAATATAGTTAGCCAATGGTATCGTTTAAAAGCGTTCCTGATTATATAAGCAATATGCGGCTCTTTTTCCTTTTCTCACCTGCAACAAAAGAACTTCCAGTGTTAACGCAGCAACATGAAAGGAGATGCAGACGAAACGAGGACGGAGTAGTTTGAACTGGGCCGCATGCCGTACTCTGTCCTTTCAGCGCTGATATTAAGCCTCGTAAGTACGGAGATCAGTCCTCTTGAATACGGCCAGTCTGTGTATATCACTCTTGCGATGTTTCTTCGTTCATGGAGCTGGGGAAAGGACGCAAAAACAGTCCCACCGCCGAGGAACAGGAATAGCAACGGATCCGATTCTTTGCTCCATTGATTGGTGCTTGGTTGTCTGTTTTGGGCAGTTGGTAACAGCTCTCCCGCCCCTCTGCCTGTTGTGTGGAGCCGTGACAGCGGGACAGGCAGAAGACGAAGAGCCGCAAGCTAGGCAAGCCCCTGAGAGACGGATCAGCAGCGTTAGCAGGACCCTACCTCAGAATGCACAAATCTTGCTAATAAGGGGCAGACGAGCTCTTAGTCAGAAAGGTAGCAGACGATCAAGATGGCCATCCCATTGACAGAGAATCAACCGTTGTACTCTGTATTCTCTGGAGATACATGTTGTTGGCGGCAGCGTAAACAACAAAGTACTTGCTCTTACCAGGACTCCTGGAACTAGGTTTGCCACCCGTCCTCCGCTTTTCAGTGAGACCGAGTTTGGCCTTGTCATGTCGCCTCATGCTGCAAGGGGTAGAAGTGGAACTGTCACCGGGCTGGTTTTCTATGCTACTCCAAGAATACGATCGGAGGCTGAATATCACGGCCTTTGGTTTGAGGATACCAACTTCGCACATGGAGATCGCTCGCTTTCTCAAAGGAGGCTGTCCAATTAAGACACCAACATCTGGCATCCACCGGACCTGTTTCTCAGACTGCAGAGATGTTGTCAAAGCTGCGTTGGCATCTCCACAATAACTAGTTAACTAGTTACCACGTCTTGCACATCGTGTTGGGCGGCTGACGGGAATACACCCATTATTTAACTGGCCCTCTGGCCACATTTTTTCCATTCTCTCATCAAGCTCTTTGACACTTTCTCCTGTTAACCAAATAGTCCATTATTTCTCGAGCTCACCGTCATTCTTTACCTTTTCCCAAATTTATCATCCAGTCTTTTGGTTTTTTCAGTTTTAATAGTTACTGCACGATACCCCTTATAATTCTTCCTTATCTATCGATCTGAACCCCTTTGATATTCAAAATGGACCCCAACTCTCAACACAACACCGATCCAAACATGAAGTCTGGATTCGCGGTGGACTCGTCTTCTGGCATGCCAACGAACAAATGGAGCTCTCCCTTCTATGAGTTCTGGGATCCTGTTGATACCAGTAAGAGGAAGACGAAAGCCAGCCGATAAGATAACAGTTTTGCTGATTTGAACCTAACAGTGCTCTGCTCCTGGTGCTGCCCATGCTTTATGTTTGGCCGTAATCAGCACCGAAGACGCGACCCAGCTATGTCTGGTTTCAGCTACTTCAACGGCGACGTAAGCTATCACGACCTGCTCTTGTTAATTAGTTGTACCGACTGAGTGTCTCTAGTGCTGTCTTTGGCTTTGCCTTGCATACTGTGGATGCTATGGTATTTTCCAGGGCCTCAAGCGTATTGAAACTCGAAAGCAGTACGGAATCGAAGGCAATGAAGTTCTCGACTTTGCCGGATCCTGCTGTCTTCCTTGCTGCATGCTCATCCAGGAAGATAAGGAGATCACCCGCCGTACCGAAGCAGCTGGCTACCAACGAACCTCTCCAATGTCCTACCCTTGATAGGACAATAGAAGCCCATGAAGCTCTACTACTCTCCGTAAAACTACCTACTCCGCAAAACATTAATGGGTCCGGCTCTCGGAGTTTTGCCTACTTCCCCTATATCTTGAGTTCTATGCTTCTCTAAAAATGCGCCTAACTAGGCTAATCCAATGTTTCGTTGTTCATGCTCTACAGTTCATTTTACGTTATTTTGATCTGTAGGGGTTATTTTTTCCACTTTTTTCTCACTACTTAATATATGGAATAGATCACAGCCGGACAAACCCCCGAAGACCGTAAGAACTTGAATCGGAGAATAGCCTGTGCCACGTAGTCAATAGTCCTATACTACCGCCTATTATCATCCATGCATTGATTTCGATTCAGATTGACTCACACATGCATCGACGGTGTAATCGGCAGTCGGTTGATAGGCTAATACCCCTCAACATCGAACCCGGGCAACAACTTAACTATCTACCTAGCACTTACATCTACGATGCTAGGTAACGTCTTCAACTTCTTGTTAAAAATACAGGTCATATAAGAAGAGACTAGCATTCATCATGGCGCCTCCGACCATGACTTCAACTTCGGCCCCGTCTACGGGAGATGCTACCATGTCGCTGCGCAGCGCTCCAAGCGACGATGCGGCGAAGGACGAAGCTCCAGAGATGACCAAGCTCCGTGCTACATTTCCCAAACCACCTGTATTTGAAGACAAGGTCAAGGAGCGAGAGTATCTCAAGGGAAGGCTTGCACTCGCATTCCGCATCTTTGCAAAATACGGCTACGAAGAGGGTGTAGCAGGACACATCACGCTGCGAGATCCGGTCGACCCTACGACATTCTGGGTCAATCCTTTTGGCGTGCCGTTTGCCCATATCCGGGCCTCGGATCTCATTCAGGTCGACCATGAAGGTACTGTCATCGCAGGAGGGGAGATTCGCCGCCTTAATACTGCTGCATACATGATTCACGCTGCCGTCCATGCCGCCAGACCAGACGTGCAATGTGCGGCTCACAGTCACAGTATCTACGGCCGCACATTTTCCACTCTCGGAATCGAATTGGACATCACGACTCAGGACTCCTGCGCCTTCTACAAGGTATGTAGCACGAGAAGATGTTTCATAACTAGTAACTAGTTATTCTATCCTATCTATTTGCATCGGGTACTGATACGCTATCAATAGGACCACGCCCTGTATGCGCAGTTTAAAGGCATTGTTCTAGGCAAAGAAGAAGGTCTAAATATCGTCAAAGCCCTTGGAAGCAAGAAGGCAGCTATTCTGCAAAACCACGGCCTCTTGACTGTGGGTAGAACTATCGAGGAGACGGTTTTCTGGTTCTATGCGTTGGAGAAATGTTGCTATAGCCAGCTTCTGGCCGATGCAGCCGCCAAGGGACGAGGCATTGAGACCGTAAAGATCCCCGAGGAAGATGCTCAATACACCTACAAGGTGATCGGAACGCCATTCGCCGGGTATTTCAATGGACTTCAGCTGTACGAAGTCATTGAGAGAGAGATGAACGGGGCTCACTTGAAGTAGTTAGTTTCACTTTAGCAATCATAACAAATAGCAACCCTGCCAACATCCTCCTGCATAACCACCAATCTCCATCAACCTCCGGGCTCCATCCTTTTAGCAGCGTCCTTCATGGTAACCAATTCTTCATTCCTTCACTGCCAATATCTTGCTTCGTCTTATCTGGCTTATCGCGGCCTTATCGTTCTTATCGTACCTATCACGTGACCGGCTCTAGAAAATTTCAATGAAAAAAAAAAAAAAAAGATAAAATAAAATAAATAAAAAAGCGACTTCGCGATCAAAATTTCTTTCGATATCAAAACTAACGCCGGTAAAACTAGTTTCATTCATTCTTCTCTAGTTCATCTCGATAAGAATAGCGTCTATTGCATTGTATATCTCCTTGCTCTACGTTCTGTTTTACTATTCTAATACCGAATCCCCCGAATCCTTATCAACTATCCAGCAGTATGTCTGTCCGGTTCGGACAACTGCTCTCGCGCAATCTGCAGCGATGTGCTTTACGGCTACCAGTTACTTCGACTCTGGCGAAGTATTCTATTAGGAGACTTCCAACTGCACCCCTGTTGACCTCGAGAGCTTTACATGCCTCACCTCAGTTCCGCGTTCCCGCTGGTACTGCGAACGCCGGCGTTGCAGTTGAAGATGCCGGAGAGGCAGAATTGATCACGGAATTCTCAGAGCTGGGAGAGAAAGGTGTGGTAGATCAGAGATTGATTAATGCTATTACCAAGGGAATGGGTTTGAAGACCATGACCGATGTTCAGGCACAGACTATCAATGAGAGCATTCAGGGAATCGACATGTATGCCTCCTTTCAAACCCATATTTCCTGCTCGCAGTTGTTTCCAAGAAATAAAATATTGAACTGACTCTTTTATCTAGGATCGCGCAGGCAAAGACTGGAACGGGCAAAACTGTTGCTTTTCTGCTCCCAGTTATCCACAGAATCCTTCAAGATCCTACCCTTGGCAACTTGCGAAGAAATTTTGCGTCAGCACAAGATATTCGGGCAGTGGTAATCTCTCCTACTCGTGAATTGGCAGAACAGATTGCCGTTGAAGCGCAAAAGATCACCCGTGGCTCTGGTCTTAAAGTACAAACTGCGGTAGGAGGAACAAGGAAACGAGAAGGATTGATGAGGCTCCAAAGGGAAGGCTGTCATATCTTGGTTGGAACTCCTGGCCGTCTGATGGATCTCTTCTCTGATCCTACTAGCGGAGTTGCTGCTCCAAAGCTGCAGGCCTTCGTGCTAGACGAAGCAGACCGACTTCTTGACATTGGCTTCGCTCCTGACATCGAACGTATTCAGTCTTTCTTCCCAAGTCGTTCTCAGGTTGACCGACAAACCCTGATGTTCTCTGCCACCATTCCAAAGTCAGTCAAAGGCCTGGCTAGAAGCATGCTAAAACCTGACTTCACATTCGTTAACACTGTTGGAGACGAGACTCCAACACACTTGAGGGTTCCTCAGAGAGCTGTCTTCCTCAGGGGCTTCGAGAACCAGCTGCCTGCTCTTTTCGAGATTGCTAAACGAGCTGTCCAGGCGCATGCCGCCAACCCAGATACTGCGATGCCTTTCAAAGCCGTAGTATACTACGGATCAACAGCTGAAGTCAGCGTTGCTCGTCGTGCCTTTACTGCCTTGTGCAGGGACCTGGAGAGCTTGTACACTAGTCGAGCTCCCCGTATTCAGACTATTGAAATGCACTCTCGCCTGACTCAGGCACAGAGAACATTCAATTCTGATTCTTTCCGCCGCGCTACCACTGGAATTCTCTTCTCATCGGACGTCACAGCTCGTGGCATGGATTTCCCAAATGTCTCCCATGTTATTCAAATGGGTGTCCCTAACGATACAGATACATACATCCATCGTCTTGGACGTACTGCCCGAGCTGATAAAACCGGAGAAGGCTGGATTCTGTTCCCCGACATTGAATTCGACGCCTTTGGAGAAAAGCTTAGAAGCCTTCCTATCAAGGAGGATACCTCCATTGAGTCTGCAAGCGTCGACTTGACAAACCCAGCTCAATTTAGCCAGTCTATAGCTTCTGTTTACGACACTCTTTCGAAACAATTTACCCGAATATTCGACGATGACAAGTTAAAGGCGTACCGCGCCATGAATAACCAGATGTCCAAATACGACAAACGGGAATCTCGCCGCCTCCTCCACCAACTTGCTACTTCTATTTGGGGTTACCCTGAACCACCATACCTACCGGAGCCGTCACCCTCCCGTGCTGGAGGCCGGTATAACCGTAGCCAGAGAGGCAACAGCGGCGGTTATGGCGGATACTCCGACCGAAGGGGCGGATCGTCCTATGGTGGCCGTGGAGGCTCCAGAGGGGGGTCGTATGGCTCTGGCCGAGATTACGGTCGGGACAGAGGATTTGACAGAGGATTCGACCGTCGTGGATCCCAGGGGGACAGGCGCCGTACTAGCCTCTGGGAGTAATTAGCCTGCATTCACTACACCAGGCAATAGGTTACCCCCAAGCCTAAAATTTGCACGCTCACAGCCTTTTTTTTTCCCCCCGGAGGGTTGGTGCCATCGAAAGCCACTCTTCAACCATGAATTGCAATATTTCAGCATTTCCCTAACACCCGGGCATATATATGGATAAGATAAGAAAGTTATAGGCGTTGAGGTCGACTGTTTCTCTGCTGTTTTACTACCACAAAATGGTGTTTTCCACGGTGTCTCTTGCTATGACGGAGTTGGCGCTCACTTTCAAACAGGAAGGAAGAGGCTTACTTTTCTCTTCTGTTCTTCGTTTCTGTTTCTTATCAGTGTATTTCTACAACCCCTTCTGATATATACCTGTTAATATTTTTGTGTCTATCACCCTGGTTCAGCCCACGTTTGTTTGAGCTGGACTGAAGTTTTATCCTACTCGTATTTTCTGCTCTTTCTATTTTGATTACTTGCATGGCTGTATGTACAATAGACAGGATGAAGGCTCAGACGAAATATTCCACTCAATGAGATATCTCAGATTAATAATTTGAACAAAAGTACAGAAACTTGTCAGCAATTGGTCTATGATTGCTTAAAAAACAGGGCCCGACCCATACGGTAAACTCAGAAACAAATGGCTAATAACAAAAGATATAAAAGTCATTAGGGGTGGACAGTCAAGTCTTAGAGTAAAAAGAATCGAAGAACAGTGATTGAATCAATCAAGTTCCGAACCTGTGTAGGTTAGTTGTCGCCGAGGCTCTGGTGTTGGCAAACCAGACTCATCAACCCCCGAGGCAGATGGAGATGCCACCATGAAGGCCTTTCGATCAGATAATATCCGTTCCTGACGCGAAAGCAAGTCTGAGTCCCTATGATACTGTCTTTCATTGGCAGCCTCCAGTTCCTTGATTCTCCTTGACTCAACGGTCATCTTAGCCTCTAGGAGGTTATGTTGGGCATTGGCCAAGATCTTATCATTTTCAATCTGTAATCGTCCTTGCCTCTCTGCAGCTTCCAGGCGAAGTTGGTTCATCATACGCAGCTGTTCCTGATCATCCAGTCGTTGTTGGGCGGCAAATCGCTGGCGTTGAGCAGCCGTTTCTGCTTCAAGGCGGAGCTGGAGTCTGTTGGATCTCTCGGCTGCTGCGTCACGTTCATCTGCAGTTTCACGATCGTGCAAGGTCCGAAGTTGATGTGTGCGAGCCATTATTTGGTGCTGCTGATCTGCAGCATCACGTTCACGCTGAAGAGATATCTGATGGTCCTCTTCTTGTTCCTGCATACGCTGCAGACGGTTTTTGCGTCGTTTCTCTTCCGCAATCACTTCAGCGGGTGCTCCAACCATATCAGGCGGTTGAGGCCCTTCACACTTGTAAAAAACATCTTTGCATCCGTTGGCTTTCAATATTCGAAGTAGTTCTGAGGCATACTCTGATGGGCTTTGTGCGAGGCATTTGGAAACATAGGTAGATGGTGAATAAACATATCCGTCGCATGTGTAATGATTGAAGTCATTGTTGATGAGCCGCCACATTTTGCTTGCAAGCAATGCGGTTGTCGTGCTTATACATGACGCCGGATTATCTATTGCGTGATAGATGAGTGGCTTCCCCTGGCTCTGGATGGCCAGATCAGCTTTCCCTGATATAAGAACATCGATTGTCTGTCGGGTCTTGACCAGAGATGTTCCAGGAGACTCTGCCTTGAAACATAATTCGGCTAGAGCACAGCGTCCCTCATGAAGCATGGATGGGAAATTAGGGCTGTGTCCATGGTCTAGAAGAAGCTGGACAGCACTAGACTGTAGCTCTCTTGATGCTTCATGAAGGCTGCCATCATCAACCATAGCGCCGGCATCGATGAGACAACGCATAATAGTCAGCTGGCCACGTTTACTAGCATTGATAAGAGGCGTTACGCCATGCTTATCCATCACTGAAACGACTGCACCATGCTGAATGAGTTTTCGGATAACATCCGGAGACTTGTCTACGGATGCAACTAGCAATGGAGTCATCATGGAGCTGGTGGACTGGAAATTAGGGTCGGCTGGATAGAGATGCGCCGTTAGTATACTTTCAGCAAGCTTTAGAAGGTAAAAAAAACTCACCTCCATTCTTCAAAAGACACTCGAATACGTATGGGCTGATCAGTTGCTGTGGCTGTAGTAGTACCCATGATAGGAGAGAAACCTGCTCGAAGCCATGTTCTTCATCGATCACATAGGGTATTAGGGCGTCTACATGAATTCCAGCTTCTAGTAGGCGGCCGAGCATCTTGTAACCCTGAGGCCATTTCCTCAAGCATTGGAATGTAATGGGTTCGCGAAGCTCATTTCCGTCCCTCGGTGACCATATATTGCCATTCATTGCTTGAATGTCCAAATCCGTCTTCGAAAAAATATCGAATAATTCGACAGCAACATCTTCAGTCAAGTCAGAGTTGAAGATACATAGAAAACCGGTATTGATATTCTGGCTTGAGGTGCTGGACTTCAAGATTGCTTTTGTTAAATGAGGTTTCCCGACAGCTATAGAGGCCGTGATTGCACGTCCATCCTGGTAATCCACATTGGCATTATGTTGAAGGAATAGCTCCACGAAGCTGGAGGACCTTGGGTTGGAGTCGGAGGTCTCAATAGCAGCAATCAAGGCAAGGCTCAAAACTTCTCCTGAGGCTCCATTTTGGAGAAGCAGTTCCACAGTGGAGTATCCTTCTTTGGTTATCCAGTTGCTAGTATCTGTAGATATCAGCTTGCCAAAGGCGTAAGTGACACCCGCCCTGTCCGAAACGGCTTCCAAGAGAAGACCCAGAGTCAGGATATCTTTGGCCATGGCTGCATGGACCAGGCTGTGGCTTCGGTTGTAATGCACTGATGCACCATGCTTGAGCAGTAGCTTGATTGCTTCGTGGCTGCAAGGCATTTCCTGAACAACTTCAAGAAGAGCTGAATCCATGAGCTCGCCTTTGTAGCCTCCTTTGAGAATCCGTGAAACGTATGACAAGCGGTCTGCACCTTTCAATGCCCAGCATGCTTTGAATGCCTCTTCCAATGCTCCCTGACTAGCTTGTTGCTCCAATAGAAGTTTGAAGACATCAAATCGACGTCCCTTGATAGAGTTTATAACAGCGGCTCCTTGCTGGTGATTTACCGATGCACCATATTGAATTAACATTTTCAAGAAGGTTATGTCTCCTTTATTTACGAGAATGGCTTCGGCAAGGAGGCTATCGAGTGCCTCGGGGATTCGATTCTGGGAGGCATCTAGGAGAGTTTTGGCCATCTCATTCCTCTTTTTGGTGTCGATTTTCAGCAATCGCTCTAAGCCGAGGGTGACTGTCAAGGTTGTCGGAAATCTGGATATTAGCAATGACAGCTGTCTCTCATCGGAATTGTCAATGGCTCTCTGAATGACTGCTCCTCCATTATAATTGATATCTGCACCAAACGACAATAATAGCTCAATGAGACGAGGATCGGCAGGTGAACTTTGCTGCGCGGTTACAAGGCCGGCATCCAGAGCTTCACCGTTGGCTCCAGCCGCCAGAAGTCTCTGGCACATCTTGTACCGAGCCGATGTATCTTGCGATGTAAGTGCAACGGAGAAGGTAGCATTAAGCGTATCAACGGAGGGTTGATGTTGCAATAGAATCTTCAGTAATTCGGCGTCACACATTCGGCATGCTTGTTTGAGAGGTTCTCCATTGTTAAAATTAATATCTGCTTTCCCCTTTTCGAGGAACAAGTTGACGGCAACAATATCAAGCGGATTTTCCTTGAGCAATGTAACCAATTCCTGGTTGATTTGTAGTCCACTGGCTTCTTTGGAACCGAGAAGCAGATCTAGGATGGAGAAACGCAGTATTCGGTCCCGTAACGAGACTGCTGGAACAACAGCTCGCGACAGGGAAGAAGAGGAAGGCCTTCCCTGAAGTAACAGCTTTAGCACAACAACGTCTCCTACTTTGACGGCTTGTACGAGACAATTTCCATTCTGAGCATCGACGTTTGCGCCGTGGTTCACCAATAGTTCGATAAGCTGCTCTCTTTCAGCGGGAAATTCGCTCATAACAGCACCAATAAGTATTTTGTTGACTGCATCTCCCTTTGCACCAGCTGCCAGAAGATCCTGGGCAACAGTAAACTGTAGTCGTGGCTGTAAAGAAGGCAACAAACCAATGCAATGACCGAGGGTTGCTCGAGAGGGCCGTCCTTCCATCAGTTTCCTGAAAATAGGGAGGGCGCCAGCCGAGATGGCCAATCGTAGTGCATGACCTTCATCGTAGTCAACGGATGCATCGTTCTGAATCAGCAGATCTATCAAGATTCGTTCATTCTTATGTACCGCATCTACGAGGCATTGGTGTAGTGGGCTTCCATAAGCGCCGCATTTTATGAAATGAGCAATAATGGATATCTTTTTCGTGGGAGATAAGCTCGATTCCACTTCGGGGACCCTGGATAATGCTGTAGAGGCAGAGTCAGGATCAATGGCGCCCTTGAACAGGATATCATGAAGGTGCAGATTCCCTCCCTTTATGGCAGCTATGATGGCCTCGCAGGAGTTATATGTGACGTTCCCATTGTAAGAGACAATTAGAGAGACGGATGGTTTATCGTTGGCTGCAACGGCGCTCACTAGAGCTCTGGCAACACAGTCTCCATTTGCGCCAGCGCAAAGAAGTAACTCAAGCAAGGAATCTCGTTCTTCTGAGCTGAGGTTGTTCGAATGATATGCAGCACCAGCTGCGGAGTCAAGCGAGATCCGAGAAGGAGGACGACTGGCGAGGACTAGGGCAGCAGATATGTCGAGTCTTCCAGCCCGTACAGCAGTTTCCAGTATTTGGTCTGTATCCGCGTTTGCTCCGTTGTGTATGAGACACATTACCAACCTCATAGACCCTATCGAAACTGCTACCGGAAGAGCCTCATCCAGGCAGGAGCTGCTGAGTTTCTTTTCGGTTCCAGCCAGCATCTCAACGACGGCAACATG